GCAGCTGTGTGCCTATTTATAAAAAAAAAAAGAAATATAAATATGTATTTAGAAATAGACATTTTCACGCTGGAAAATTTCTTAGCGCTGACAAATTGTGCTCGGCCGAAATTGCGACAGACGCGACGACGCGTCAACTGTTGACAAATGCATATAAAGTGTTTTATGGCATATGGCGAAATAACTAGCAGGTTCTAAACTGAAAAAAAGTATCTATGAAAAAGTATCTGGCTTGCGCTAGTTGGCTGACTGGCTGGCCTGGCAATTGTAACAATATTTATATATATAGGTATGTAAATGAGTTTGTTTTGTTTATAGTGTTGCGTGGGCAACGGTTAAATAATTATGAAATATTTACGGTAAAAAATAATCACAATACACATGAACACACACACACACACATGCAGACTTCAAGTTACAGTTGCACAAAGTTTACTCGATAAGAACTTGTGAGCTCGTTTTGTTTTGTATTTTCAGTGGCTCTCACTGTATCTAGATATCAGTGTAATTGTATCTTAATGTGTAGAATACATTTATATATGCATATCTATCTATATCTGTATATGTATCAATATCTGTAAATATATCTAGATATCGGTGTATGAACTTGTATCTAATATGCATATCCAGCTTATATTTATTTGTATCTACAGTCATAATTGTATCTATATCTGTACGTGTATTTCTACTTGAATTATATATGCATATACATATATGTATATTCCATACGTATGTAGATGACTATATATGGGTAATTGTACTTCTGTCTGTATATATATCTGTACGTAAAGCAGTAGTAAAGTATCTAAGTTGATATGTTTCAAAAAATATCTTTACCTACATGTTTGTATTTGTCGCCGTATCTGCTCTGTTTCTGTATTTCCGAATGCATTTAACTGACACAACAATAATAATGTATCTGCATCTGTATCTACTCATGTATCATGTATCTGTTCATCTAAATGAAAAATATCCTTATCTATAATAGCAAAGCTGTCGAAATATCTGTAGCCCTAAAGGTATCTGTGTCAGTCGACATATTTGTATCTTATACCGTCATCAGTTTGCTCATTTGTATCAGTAACTGGTTCTGTATATATGCATATCAATATGCATGTGTGTGTGTGTGTGTGTGTGTGTGTGTGTCTCTATTTGTTTGTACTTCTGTATCTGACTCAACAGCTGCTGCTGCCCCAAATGTATCTGTATCTTTTAACTGTATAGCTTGGCGGTAGCTTTTGTCATCGACATTCAACAGCAACAAAAAAGTAAAAGTTGTTTCACTTTTCAGCAACTGACAATAACAAAATCCGCCGCCTTAAGATTCTCTTGATTATATTTGTTGTGGAAGATTTTCACTTTAAATAAATATTTAAAAAGCCCCAGGCCCAGTCACAGCCCTAGTGCCAGCTCAAGCCTCAGCTTCTGCCTCGTATATATCATACATTCAATAAACACTTTCGCTGCAAATATTTATATTAATAACTATTATTATATATACATATCGTATATATATCATCTGCTTTATTTGGGTCGTTGATCGCTTTGCCCGCATGCATAATTAAATGCATTTGAAATTGAATTTATTTTGGTTTACGTTTGGCTGCAAAAACCGCAAATGATTCATTTTTAGCCCAAAAGTAAAATTTTGTGTAAATTATTTTTTAATCAATGCACAAATTTATTTTATTTTACTTTTTAGTTCAATTACTTTGCGGTTGTTATTGTTGTTGTTGGCCTTTACACAGAACTTGGCGCCTTGGCTGCCTTTTCGTTAATTTCGTTGTTTTTTGCTGGCAACGCATTCGAGTTGCCAAATGTTATTGACCCAAATTGAGAAAATGTAAAAAAATAATCACATTCGAAATAGAACCAAGCAAGTAAATAAATAAAAAACACACACGAAAGCTCTGTTGTCGCCAAAATAGTTTTACATATATATAGAAGTATGTATATATATAATATAAATTATAATGACACACGATACGCAGATTTGTACTATCCATGTCAAGTGGCCAATGATGGATAGATTTTTCTATGGAAATGTTTTCTCTGTAGTGCATAAAATATGTCAATTGCAAAGCTTTGAATATAATATATAGAAAATGTATATAAATGCACATTTATGAATGTGCATGTATATATATATATATAATGAACATACATATATATGTATTTCAACTGGCAGCTGTTCAGTGACATTTTCTCGATTCGAGTTTAATTTTATTTGCATTCAAAAATAATTCCATGTCGAGTTCTCAATTATTAAATAATTTTTTAATTATTTTGCAGTCCGTAAATATTTGTTTATTTATTTTTATTAGCATTTCTGTTAACTTCTCTGGTTAACGATTAATTAAAGAAACCTTGACCTTTTTCTCAGCTATATTTTCAGCTATTGGCATTATCTTATCTAAGTTCAATTCAATTTACTTAGAGGGTTTTTTGTAGCTCACAATCTTATCTGAGGCTATAAGATTTACTATTTGTTCAATTCATCAAATTCTAGATCCTTTTTGGGCTGCTTTAATTGCAAGTCTTTATATTTGTTGCTGTCTTTGCTTTACAAATATTGCTGCTTTTGAGATAAGTCTGCATGAAATCTTATCAATGAATGAAATAAAATTGGAAATATGTGTATTTACAAGGAATATTTCTTGGTAATTTGCTATCTTATTGAATACCTCATAACTGTCATTCAAGTCCGTTCAAACAAATTTATCTTATCTGTCAAGCTTTGCCAACTTCCTTTGTCCCACACACATCGCAGTCTGTCTTGCTGCATTCATGCTCCCGCTTTATCTCGCTCTAATCATATCTGTTCTTATTTGCATATTTCAATTATCAGCAGCTTAAGCATTGGCAAATTGTGTCTGCGTTGGGCACCTTTATTTAATTTATTTATTATTTGCTTCTGTATCTATATAGCTGTATGTCTATGTGTGTTTTATCTGTAGCTGTTGCTGTTGCGGTCTAAATTGCCTTTTGTAAGCAGCTGAATCAATAGCTGAAATACCGCCAGTTGCCCAAACTGAAAACCTTGCCTTGTTTTTTTTTCTCCTCTGTTGACAAACTAATTTGCGCACAATGTTTGCTATTTTGTTGTTGTTGTATTTTTCTCGCGCTTAATTAGCAACTTGCTGAGCCTAAGTCTTGAATTTTACTATCAATTAACATAATTGGCTGTCGGAGCTCGTAGCTCTTAGCTCTTTTTTTCCCCCTTCAGTTTTTGCTCGATTATTTGCTCAATATAATTTGCTGTGATTGGAAACGTTTCGGAAAAATGGTTAGCTACTAGCCTCAAGCAGCGTTTAGTTTTTCTTTAGCTTTTTTTTTTTATTTTTTTATTTAGCTGTGGAATGCGGCTCGCGGATTTGGGTCAGAAGAGAAGCGTTGCCGTTGCTTTTTGCCCAGTCGGGCTGCTATTAGCCAACACGGTCTTTGAACTGGCCAGCAGCTCCAACTGTGCTGCTGTGCGTACGTGTGCATATGTGTGTGTGTAATCTGAGCCATGTGTATCATAATTTGCTCAGAGCCAAGCGTCGCATCGCGCGTCGCGCCAACATTTTGTGGGCCAAGCTGTGGCCACATTGCGCATACGCCACGTAGTGCCGAGACTCAAGACTCAACTCGACTCGTTGCTGCTGCTGCTTATCGCGAGTGTAGAATCATTTTGCGGCTGCTTGTGCGATGTCTTTTGTTGCCAGAGCATAGAAAATGCAGCAAGCTTTAGTTGTATGTTGCCAGCTCGTTTGTTTGTTTGTTTGTTTGCTCTGCTAGCTGGCTGGCTTGCTTGCTTTCTGGTTGCCTGTATCTCCGCATTTGTTTTCAATGCGTTTGCTGACCCAGAAAAAAGAAAACTTTCCAGCAGCTGTCGCAGCATGCAACCGCAGTGGCAGCAAAAGCCGCAGCATCAACAGCAGCTGCAAGTGTTTTTGCCCTAAAGCCATGGGTTGGGTGTGGATGAGTGGGGCGTGGCTGCCACTCGGAGCCATCAACAACAACAGCCAGGGAATCCAAGCATATGGCTATGGCATTTGACTTGTAATTAATAAATACTTGGCCTTCTTGATTTATGCGCCACAATTTGAGCCGCATGAAGTCTCCGGCCGCAACCTGTACCTGCAGCTTGCGCAATTTGCATGCTGCAGCTTTGATTGAGCAACTGCAGCAAATTCATTTTGAGCAGCAGTGTTAACAATTAAATTTATTTACTTTTTTTTATGAAATTCTATTTTGTTACATTTGAACAACTTTTCATTTTATTTTTGCGCATCAGCTTTTTATTATTTATTATTCAGCTGTGATGAAAAACTTGTGCTATTAACAAAAATTTACATGCCAGCAACAACAAGCGGATTTTTTTCTATGTCTGTTTTTTTGTTGTTGCCTTTAAACGAGTTTTATTTACAAACATTTGACTTGAGTCGCTTTAAGTGTTTGCACTTCTCGTGTTTAATGAACAAGTTGGTTAGTTTTTCTCCCCTGCCTCTCGCTTTTTCTATATGGCGAGAAAAGGCATGAAAAAGGCGCTGAACGCTTATGTAAGCAAAGCGCTGAAAAACAGTGGCGCCACAACTATAGCTACCCAGTGGCTGTCGAACTGTGTAATTACTGGGCGCTGCTTTAGAGCTTGCTAAATGCCATACGATCAATATGACATTAGGAGTAATTGCTTTCAATTTCAGTTGAATGCTTTTAATGTTTTCATTATCAACTCTGTATGATTGATATTTGAGCATATGGACAATGATTAAAGGCAAATTATTACATTGGTCTCCATCGAAAATTGTAAAATACGTTTTTGGCCTTATCTTATGGAATAAAAATATTAATTTGCATAAAGAATATTTCTTGAGCAACTTATAAAATATACATACATAAATAATATATTTTTTGAGCTGGTTTTAAATTTATAAAAGAAATATTTATTATACAGTTTGTACATAATATTATATACTTTAAACAGGTTATCAAACATTTTTTATTGACAGTTATGAAAACATTATTTATTTTGAAAAAAATTGTATATAAATGCAGTTTATTATAACAGCTGAATAAGCTGCCTGTTAAATGTTGACAGTCATATTAGCTAAATAATACAAGTTTAATCAAATTGAATGTAAGGACGCATATAATTAGAGAACTGAAATTGGCTAACTTCTATAGGCTTTTATAGATTAACAATATGTAGTACATAATGGGCTGAAGCTGATTACTCAGGTGCATTTCAAGTGCTGGTCACTGTATTTACACATGCATACATATATGACTTCAGTATATGCATTAATACTAATAAATATACTCGAGTAATCAACAGCATAAACTACTTCAAGGGCAACGCCTACTTTTCTCCTTGGCTACATCTAAACATTTCTGCAGAATTCGATATCAAAAGTTTCCCATTTTGCATTCTTTATTAAATTACAAATTGAACTCAACTACAATTAACATTTAATTAGACTCTTGTACTTGGCTTAATCATTTATCTAATTATGCTCGCCTTAGATTATGTTCTGCAGTTGCTGCTGCTGCAGTTTCATCAGTTTCGCATTGAATTGCACTTTGACCTCTCCTCGAGCATGAAATGATTGCTGCTGCACTTATTGCCAGGCACTCACATTTCAATTAGTTTCATTTGCCTCGTTTGCCTCAGTGTTCATTCGTTCAGGCAATTTGCGTAAGTGTTTGCGCTTTCGTTTGTCAGTCTTCAATCTGACATTTCTCCAAGTGGCTGCAATTTTCGCTTAGCAATTCGATCGCATTTCGCACTTGTTGGCATTTGCAGTTGGCCAACCTCTCGCTCTTTGACTGATTTTGCTAGTAGGCAATTTCACTTTGCAAATTGACGGCAGCAGCAGAAACAACTTTCATTTTAATTAGCTGAGCGAAATAGCAACAGCGAATAAAATAGAAATAAATTAGAGAAAAAAATGAAAAAAAAAAAAATAGTAAATTATAATCAAAATCAATTTTACAATCATGTGCAAAACAAAATTCCAATTTCAATTCCAATTCCGAAACGCGAGCCAATGGCATGGAAAAACTAACTAACCGCCAGATTCAATTTAGAGCCAAGCCAAAAGGTCAATTAGCCAAGCCAGCAACGACAACAACAACAAAAGCAGCAAATTGACGTATGAGCAAAATGAAAATAAAAATAAAAAAAAAACTATAATCGAAATAAAAACAATTTTTGACTGACAGTCTGAAGTCGATTGTCGAACAGGTGAACGTGGGCGGGGGTGTGGCTAAAGGGGGGAGTACAGCGGCTGGCTTTAACAATTGCAAACCAGTTTACAGTTTTGTGTGTTTGTAATTCGAAAGGCATACAACAAATATTTTCTATTATTGTAGTTGCTTTTGCTATTGTTGTTGCTGTTGTTGTTGCCTAACAACAATTTGAAACGTGGCTAATTACAAAAGCGTTTGTTGCTGCTGCTGCTGTTGATGGTGTGCAAGGTGTGTCCCAAGCTGACGCTTTTGGCCAAGTTAGCTGCCACCCACCACAGCAGGCAAGTCCGCTGCCAAGTGTTTCAATGACAAAGCGCCTGCAAAACTGTCGCGACAGCATTTAGAGAGAGGAAGAGGGGGGGGGACTGAGAGAGAGAGGGAGAGACACTGATAAATATATTTAAAGCTATGCTAAAGATTTAGTAGAAGAGGTAAAAAGAATGAAGAGATTATTAACTCTCAGTTAAGAGAGAGAGAGAGAGAGAGAGAGAGAGAGAGAGAGAGAGAGAGAGAGAGAATCAAAGATATATCGAGATATATATGTGAGTATATGTGAGAGTGAGACACAAACAGAGAAATAGACAAAGAGGCAGTTACAAATAGATAGAGATGGACACAGAAAGATGAGCTATTTAAAATATACTTGAGCTCTAAAGCCCAGTAAAGCCGTCTTAAAATATCTAATATATTAAGAAAAGCGAAATAAATAATAGAAAAGCAAAACTAAATGAAAAAGGCCGACAGACAAAGGAATCGAAGTTAGGTATACGACGACTGGCTTACCTGCCCCTGGCTAATGGACAACATAGCGTCGCCGCGCATTGTTATCCAGCGCTGACGCATGGCTGGGCATTTGAATGTTGCAACAGAAGCCGCCAACTGAGTCACAAATTCAATTCACATCACTTTGATCAATAAATCTTTCTGTAAAAATCAAAAATAGAAAACTTTTTTCAATAAATCTTGTTGTTTATCAGCTAAATATAGTAGAGCAACTATTTCAGCAAGTTCAAATGTCAATGGTAACTAACAAAAAAAAAAAAAAATAAAATAAAAATAAAACACAAAGTGAATATGAGAAAAAGATCACTTGCTAATGGCACAGCAATTTCGCACATACACAAAGATACTTTGTGTGAAACGACACAGATACAAAGCGAGAGATACAGATACAGCCAGAGCCTCAGCTACAGATGCCAGCTACATTTAGCCGCAGTCTCAATTGATTGGCTTTAATTGCTGGCAATTGGCTTTGCTGCAATCAAAATCAACACACAAACAACATCCTGTGTGCGTGTGTATGTCCGTGTTTGTGTGTGTGCAGGACGCGTGCTCTGCGCTTGGTTTCCTGCCGTTGTCTGGCGCCATCATCGCCTAATCACCTACCGACCAGCTCCTTCCACGAACTGCTGAAAACTTACCTGGGTTTTTGGGATTTTTGTTGTGTTTTATTTTGCGCTTGTCCATTTTTTTCTAACTCTCTGTCATGTGTTGTTGTCACGTCCGGAGCCCGAGACCTTCCTGGGCTGAGCACTCGTAGAATATTGTCTTCTTCTCTCCTTTTTTTAAGTGTAACTCTTTTTGGCTAGCCACGCCCCATTTTGTTGGCATTGTAATACGCATTACACAATGTCGCACGCTTTAATTTGTGCTGTCTGTTTTTTGTTTTTTTTTTTTTCTGTTTTTTTTTTTTTTTTTTGTGTGTTTCGTTTCGCTCGTAAAAAATAGTCGAGTGAAATGTTTATGCCGACATTTAGACAACTAGAAATGTGAACTATGTATGTGAATGTATAATTGTGTATGTGTGCGTATTGTTATTTAGCTGCAAATTTACGATCGTTTTGCTGCTGATGATCACGTTTCAGACGGCGCCTGTTTGGCAACCTAATGAAGCCTTAGCAACAGTTTGACAGCCACTCGAAACCGTATGGGAAATTTAATGTGAATATAATTTAATTTGAGTTAGCTCTTTAGGAAAGGCAGGCAGAACAACTGGCTAAACAGTTAACTCTATTGGCTTTTAACTTAAACATTCATAAACTTAATTTTATGACTTGAACTCATTGAAGTTGTTAACAATTTGGGAATTATAACAATAGTTTTGTTTGTTCGAAACGTAAACAAACATTTTTAATTGATTGTCAAACGTGTAGAGTTTCAAATGAATTCACATATCTCATGGGCTGATAAAGTTTCCATAGTTAGCTGACGGCATAATTTATCATTTTGTCAACCAGCGAAACACATTTGCTTTAGCTAGAGAACGCTAATTATGAATATTACGTGAGAATTTAAAAGGGAGAAACAAACAAGCGAGCGAAATAACAAATGTAAATACAAATTTTACGAGTTTTTGTAATATATGTAGTTAAAGTCTAGAATTTTAGCTAATGCAGTAAAAATTTGCTTTATTTTCGATTTCAATGTTCAACTTGAAAATTCCAAGTAATTTTCCGCAATTTGTTTCACTTCTAGTTCAAATATATCATATCTATATATTATCAATAATTTTCTAGCTCACATCTAGTTCAAATATATCATATCTATATGTATGTACATATATATATATATATTATCAATATTTTTGCAGCTCATAACAATGAATACAAATTACACCGAGGCGCTAGCGCTATATCAACAAATATAGACAAACAGAGATAAGCTTTGAAAATAGGTTTTATCATTTATTTGCATGCGCGCTGATAAACGTTGATTATTGATTTAGTATATTTATCGTTATCTTCTATTCACTTGTCATGCTTGGAGGACACACCTCCCCAATGGAGCTGACGCCCACATGGCAAATGACATGGAATGACACTTCATTCATGGCATTTGGCTAATTTGCTTTGGCTGTTCGCCGCCTGTCCGTCCGTACATAGTGAACTAGATGATTATTGAGCGACAATTTTAAAGGCCATTTTGGCCAGAATTTGGCCCGCATGGGCTCGGGCCGCGGCAGACGTCTGAGGTCAAATGGCTTGTAAACCTAAAACAAATGGCACAGTCGTAAAGCCCAAATTTGTTTTGGTTTAATGCGCTTCCGCCACAGAGTCTCACAGTGCCTCCCTGGCACAGAGATTGCGCAACCTCAGGGCCAACTAGCAACAGCTAACAGCCAACAGCTGAGAGCTAAGAGAGCTAAGATAGCAAACGGTAGCCCATTGGGCCATAAATGGGCAGGCGGCGAATGAGCTCTGTGTGCTGCCAGGTGAAAGAGTTGCCTTTTCAATTGGCCAATTCTGTCAGCATGTCAATTGGCATTTATTATAAGACACATTCATTCAAATGTCAGTTGCATTGAGCAACGAGCAGCACCGACAACCCTAAAGACGGCAACCCATACAACTCCAGTCTTCCAGCTGGCTACAGCTCAGCCTCTATCTGTCCATCGTTCATTGTCGTGGCAGCTGCTTTTGGCCGTTTTTCCTCTTTCTGTCGCTGTTTCGGCATCAGAAACCGCCAACAAGTCGGCATGATGTCATAAGCCACACACACTCACAGCGCTCACAAGCAAACTGTTTTAAATGAATGCCTGTCAAGTTCTTCTTCTTGTTCTTGTTCGTGTGTCTTGTTTTGATGATTGTCTTGATATGCTATAGGATAGCACTATTTTTGTTGTTTCACGAAAACTAACCAGCTCCCATTGTTTTAACAAGCAGGCAGTTATACTTAGAGGCCGATAACTGGCAGTTGTACTTTATATATATATATACATATGTATAATCTCAAGACAAAGTACAAATTCTGCCTGCGATTCTATTAAAAATTTGTTCGACGCATTCTATGAATTGTTTGAAAACTTTGGATGCTTTAGCAATGCTATTAGTCATTTTTTTTATTTATTTTTTTTTATTTACTTTTTATTTTTTAAATTTATTTATTTATTTATTTTTATTTTTTGCTATATTTAATTTTAATAGATTTTACTAAAGTAGTTTATATATGATATAGAAATATAGAAACGGATTCATTTTATGAAGTAATTTATTTTATTTGTAGTTATATGTTTTTAATAATCTATAATTTTTTTAATAATAATAATTTTTCTCATATTTTACTCAAGTAATAATTTATAATATAGCTAACTATTATTTAACTGAAAAACTAATTAAACTGCATGTTAGAGTTGATATAGAGTGGGATATATTACAGTCGAGCTCTAAATTAAAGTAACCTACATATATAGTACTCTGTCTATTATATTGTTCTGTCAGAATCTAGTCGCAAATATGGAAACGAAATATGATCCCTGTTGACCCTTAAAGCAGACTCAAGATTGCATCTCATATGTCTGGGTCTATAAATAAATTTGAAATAAGCTATAAAACTTTCTCAAATTTAAATACAATTTAAATTTGCTATATGCATAATTATGTCATCTAAATATATAAGCATATAAGAAACATGTGTCAGAGCCAAACGTAGTCGAAATTGCATATTTATTCCCATATGGCCGTTTGGTTCTTTTCTGGACATGACTAATTTTGGTAGTGCCGTTGGCTTGTTGTCGCTTGTCGCCTGGGCGGTTTCTTGAACATATGCTTATGGTAATTTTCATATGGCGCCAGCCTCAAATGAATGGGATGCAAATTGTGAATTGTGAATTGCGAATAACGAATTGCATGTTAGCCTTTAGTTGGGCCATTGACGTAAACCCTTTTGCTGAGACATGACACGGGCCGCAAAGTAATCAGAATTGAATGAATGAATGAATGGGCCAGGGAATGAAAATGGTAAATGGCCAAAAAAAAACGGGCCACAGCCAATGGCCAAAAGGTGCGCCCACAATGTGCGCTGCGAGCTGAGAGCTCGTTTGGCAAAGGTTGTTGCATGACTCTTTGCTGCGTTGTTGGCCAAAGTTCAGCAAGCAAGCGAAAAAAGAAATATGGAAATAAATAAATGAAAAAACAGCAAAGAAAAACAACAACTACAAAATGGCAACACCTTTATGGAACACTGTATGTTGTAGGGGCGTGGCACAGTCAGAGCTCTCTTTCCATGCTTGACTCATGGAAGTCACGTTCGCAGCTCGCATTTGGGCCTCGCGCGCGCTCGGCATTTGGCGCATTTTGCTTGGCACGCCATGTTTATTAATATTTAAATGCAACGAGGCATTCGCCCCAGACTCAGTGCCCCACTACCCGATGCTACCCCCGCTCTTAGCTACCTAGCCAGCTTATATACCAGAAGAAAAACACAAAAAACAAAAAAAAAAAACAAAGCGAGTCGAACAATTTCAGGCTTGAGCGCTTGCAACTGAGCTGGCAAAACTGGGAGTTGGCCCTGGCTAACCAGCTTTTTGTGTGTGTGTGTGTTTCTCCTCGTTTTGCAGTTCGCGTAATCCTTTGGCTCTACACTTGTCGCAGACAAGGGGGCCAAGGGGGGTCCAGCTGCAGCACATGTTACATTTCTAATGATGCATGGGCTGGCAACACGCAGCACCGTTGCAACGCAGTGCCCCAGTTCATTTGGGTCAGTTTGCGAGTTGCAACTTACATTTCCGGATGGTCTCTAATCGCTTGTCCAATGCGGAGATTTATATTGAAATGTTATCGAACTATGTATGTTGCACATAAATTGAGTTTTTTTCCCCGGGGACTTAGTGGTCGGCCTAGGGCGAATGTTGAGAGCGCAGATTAAAGTTAATGCATGCATTTAGAGATATGAACTGCAAGTTGAATAAATAATTTAAATTTCATTGTGAAATTTACATATATATTTTTGCGAGGTAGTTTTTACAGAATAATGTTCACATATATTTTCTGTAAATTACATTGTACAGAAAATTAATATATATTTTTACGAATGCTTGGATGTAGCTGAAGAACTTGAAGACTTTGGAGGATAAATATAATAATCTAAAATGTTCTCATGAGCTATCTTTATATATTATTTGCTCTCTATATATGCTGCACATTTAGAGCTAATGCAGTCTAGAGATTTGCAGTTCCAGTTTAGTCTTCTGAAACTCATATTGTTAGCAAATTAAAAATATATTAACAGTTAATATTTTTTATAAACTAGCAAAATCTATCCATCCATCTATCCAGCCAGCCATCCATCTACCCAAAGATCCATTCTCTATCCCTTTTTACTTTGGAATAGCTTCGTTATTTTTCTCTTTCATTACAGATTTCTTATTGTCTTTCATTATTATTCTATTCAATTCCTCTATCACATCTTTCGTCTCTCATGGCTCTAATGAGTGCCCGTCCGGAAGTTTGTCTCTGCTGCTGGTCCTCGGCTCATCGCCTCACTTCATGTTTCCTTCTTTCATAATTTTGCGCAACTAATAATTCTTGGCTGCTTTATAGTTCATTATCCATTTGGACACAGACCACGCACATCCGTTGGCTATACGATTGCCATCAGCTCCTAGCTGAAGTGCTCTTCGGCCCTTCAGTGCGAGTCCCGACCGCCCGTTGCGTTTGCTTATTATTACAGTTCGTTCCTCTTGAGTGCCACCTGTCGTTCGAGGATCTCGAATTCGACTCTTCCCTTCAATAACATTTTCGTTGTTGTTTTCCCACGAAACTACCGGCTGCAGTTGCCTTTTGTCAAGTGCACAAAAATAACAACAACAATAACAATCTCTCTACCTGTCTCATGTCCTTTGTTGCCTTCTCCTTTACACGCACTTTTTATGCACAGTTGGCTTGTTCTTATGTTTCCGCTCGTTGTTTTTAATGTGCGCTTCTTCTTCTTCTAGCACTTATTCCCTCTGCCCTGCTTCATCTAGTTACCGCCTCCTGCGCTAGTTTGCTTCATTTGCATTACAAATCAGTTAAGAGCAAGTGAAAATCTGCGCGTGGCGACCTACTTTCACAGCTACCCCCATCTACCCCCAACCCTACCCCTAGTTATCCCCATCTACTTATCTGCTGCTGCTACTGCAGCATCTTCCTCTGTCGCCTTTTGCTTTCACACACACTAACACACTCACACACACACATGTGTAAACAGCGCTCCTTGACAGCATTAGCCTGACAGTTTTAAGGGATTGTGTAGCCGTACACTGCCTGCGAGCAGTTTTCGCATACAAAATTCATGCACATAAATCGCGCTCGCTGCGAGCCCCCGCCCTCACCCATCGCTCCTCCTGCTCACGGCAGCCCTTGCTACATCCTTTTGCGCTCACATTTTTGTTTCCCACGTTGCAATAAAAAGCATACAAAAAATGGCTCAAAAAATATATATAAAATTTTTCGCCTCTTACAAAAACATTGCAAAACCCTTAAAAAATAAGCATCAAGAAGAAGCGAAAAAAAGAATCCACTCAACTTCTTTGTATGAAATCAAAATCATATATATATACGTATTTGTATTTTTGTTTTTCAACTGGCAGCTGCCCTGAGGTGTGGGCGTGGCTGCCGCCTTTTATACAGCTAAACTAATGCTTGTTTATTTCTCTCTCTCTCTCATTGC